TTACCCAATGTATGACAACAAATCAACATGGTCCACAGAAGGAAAGTAACCCAATGTATGACAACCAATCAACATGGTCCACAGAAGGAAAGTAACCCATTGTATGACAGTAAGTCAACATGGCAATCGATTGAAACTAATTCATTGTACAATAGCCAGTCAAAATGGGGAACAGATGAGGACTAACCCAGTTTACGACAACAAGTAAACACAGGAAACAAAAGAAAACTAACCCATTGTACGAGAGCAAGTTAACATGGGGAATTGATAAGAAATAACTAACTGGACAAACATGGTGAGCCGATAAGAAACAACCAACTGGACAAACATGGTGAGCCGATGAGGATTAACCAACTGTATGACAGGAAGTTAAAACATTGTACAAATTCATATTGTACAGTAGGTTATCCCTCATCTATTCACCTTGTTGAGTTGCTGTTGCACAGTGGGTCGATTTGACTGACCAAGTAACCTCTTTGTACTCGTTTAAAGTTTTTATAGTTTTAATACTACTAACTTTTAATACAGTACGTACATCTTCACAAAATTTGGTAGATTTTCAGTAAACATTATAAGCCTTTCACATACAAAAATCATATATTTTTGTGAAGTATTTTTTAATAAACTAAAAAAAAAGACGTGTCCGTGAATATATCAAGTATTTTTTTACTAGTCCGTGTGCAAAGTGATTTTCATGTTAAGACTAAAAATACTTTTCTTCATCTCAAAAATCTCAAATTTCGTTTGCGTAATCTCTAAACCCTCGTAAATGCATTTCAAATTTTGTTGTTTTTTCAGTAAATCTTTATGTTTTATCTATTATTTTCTCAACCGTAACTCTATACGACGTTGGTCAACCTCGTAACTACCAAAATTAATCGAAATAAATCTAAATTACCATCTTTGTTCTTTCTAGAATGACTTCAAATTGTAACATGAAACTACATTTGTTTATCCTAAGTAGCTTTAAACTCGTAACATTTCCATTTATTATTGGCAGTAATTTTGATTTAAAATTTTGATAATAAATAAATAATAAACATGAAAAATAAGAAATAAAGTTCTTACCCGGGCCTTCTTTTTTTGGAGGGAGGCTGTCTACTGTTGATGACACTTAACCCTACTTTTTTATACTAATGGTAGTAATGCACTAATTAATTTATATTTAATTAAATAATCCACCAAAGAACATAGAATAATAACATGCAAAAAGAAGACAACTTCCCTTAACTATCACAATTTTTCTGGCTTTCTATCTATGCGACAATAGCTGTTACAAAATCATCCAAGCTAGTCATCATATTTTCATGGGAACGAAGCTTGTACTAATAGAGAAATTGACAATTCTCAATTCAGGAAACAACATAATAGATAGATGAAAACCTTGACTTTCTATTGGTTATAGATAATATAGAATTAAACGTAAGAGAGATTTATTAACAAATCCTGAAAGAGAGGATGTGACAGGAGGGGTCGGATTTTCTATTTGAAAGATCTGTAACCAAACAAAATTGAAGGCTATAGAAATTATGGTCTGTCTGAGCAATGACGATTTTATAGTGAGTAATGTACGTTACATTTCGTACTTATTGCAGGAACGGTGAATAAAATAGAGATAAGGAGATGCCTAGTGAAAATATGTCACATTTCTCACATTAGGGGAAATTCAGGATTTGTTTATATATTTGTTTTATAACAATTAAGAACTTAAAACTTATATACTGTTAAAACATGGATTATTAACTATGATTTTATGCTATACTAATTGGTATAACATAAACAAAAAGAAGTTTAATAAAACATGGAATGTCACTAAAATTTCGTGACATGCATAGTAACTGATGCCAGGGTAGAGAGGGTTAAACTACGAATTTTTAACGACTAATCCACTGTATGACAACAATCCAACACGTTACATAGATGAGAACAACAGCAGGTAAACATTGTGAACACATGGTGACTAACCCACTGAACGACAGAAAGTCAACACAGTGCACAGGTTAAAGCTAGACCACTCTACAACAGCAAGCCAACACAATACACAGATGAAAACTAACCCACTCTACAACAGCAAGCCAACACAATACACAGATGAAAACTAACCCACTCTACAACAGCAAGCCAACACAATACACAGATAAGGACTAACCCACTCTACAACAGCAAGCTAACAAAATGATCAGATGACGATTTACC